TGGGCATTTGGATAGCTAATCAAACGCGTCTTCAGCAATAAAAATCTGAAATTAACAACAAAAATTATGGTCATGTTGCCCTTTCAACTATGCATTATGACTGCGAAACCTGAACTCTATATGGTCGCAACATCCAAAAATTAGAACCAGCAAAAAAAGCTCCGTTCAATCTTGAACATCAAATGGAAATACTATGTGACTAACACCAAAGTCCCGGAAAGAGCCAACAGTCAAAGCACCGAATCGCTGATCATGAAACAGCGTCTTCAATGGTCGGGGCATGTGTCAAGAATGGAAGAATCAAGGTTTTCACGTCAAATTTTATTCAGTGGGCTCACTTCAGGGAAAAGACCACGGGGTTGTCTTCTTCGAAGATTCAAGGACCAACTTAAAGCAACACTGAAAGCCACTGGACTTGAGCCTAAATCGTTTGAAACACAAGCTCCGGGACCGTACCAACTGGCGGTATTCAATCACCATGGGAACCAAAAACATCGAAGCTACCAGAAGAAAAAAGCAAGAAATCAGTCGACAAGAGAGAAAGGCTCGACAAAATCAACGTCGACTTCCACGGACATTACCATGCAGCCAATGACATCGACTCTTTCATGCAAGCATTATGGTATCTATCTATCTATCTATCTATCTATCTATCTAATCTGAACGGAGTGATTCCACTTTGAACGGGATCTGAATAAAGAAGGCACTCTCCATTTTGATATTAATCTAAACACGTGTTTTGATTTGTTGTTCAATTACGGAGACAACATAGTGTCAGAAGTGGGATTGTCATGAAATTAAAAGTAGATTAACGGAGCACTAGAGAACGGATACACTTATACCTCAGACGAATAAAATATCTCAGTCAGAACCGGAAAATAAATAAAATGAAGATCAACGTGTCGACGCCAGAGCCGTATCTATTTGACCAGCCCGGACAGTGGCCAAAATGAATAAGAAGATTCACTCGCTACAAAACCGTATTGGGCCTCGAAGAAAAGCACAGAAGAGTCCAAGTAGACATACTTATATACACCATGGGCGATAAAGCTGAGGATATCCTAGCTGCCTTTAAAGTTTAAACTATCGCTGGAGCACTCGGAAAATTTCGAGACATAGTCAAACATAGATTTGGCCATCACTTCACGGCCAGTACAAACGTAATTTATGAACGAACGATGTTTAACAAGCGCTGCCAACAAGAAAGTGAGTCTATAGACGCTTTTGTGACTGACTTACACGTGTTATCAAAAACATGCGATTTTAAGAGGCTTGAAGACGTGCTTATACGCGACAAGATAGTAGTGGGATGTAGAGACGTCTAATTATACGAGATACTTATAATGATACCAGATCTCACTTTGGAAGGCACAGTCAAATTGGCGCGCCAGAACGAAATTATGAAGTCACAACAAAAGATATTACGGCATCTGAAAAAATAAAGTCGAGCAACTAGATGAGGATGCGACTGCTCACATGGTCGATAGCCGTTACCGTAAAAAAAAACATACATATAAAAAGATGAAAAAAAAAAAAAATAACGAGGACAATAACCCTAAAGGGCACAGACAACAGCGGCATCTAGAAACAGAATGCCACCGTTGTGGTAACAGAGTGAACCATTCGAGACGTAGGTGCTCCGCCATCTTATCAACATGTCATTACTGTAAAGCAGTCGGCCATTACCCACAGTGTTGCAAGAAGGTCTAAGAGGTACAATATGACGAAGACTACCCATACAGCAGCGACAACACCACCCCTAAGGCTATTGACAGTGGCTGAGATTAAGTAGAACAAACCATGGAGAATTGAACTGGCAATAAATAATAAGACAGTGAAATAGACACCGGGGTTGATGTCACAGCTATACCAGAACACACATATGGAAAAATGAAGTTACCGGCACTAGCAGCAGCAACAGAAACCCTACATGGTCGACACCATAACCATCTAAAAGTAACAGGAAAACTAAAGGAAATAAAACAATACATTTATGTCATCCCTAACCTGGAAGAGCCACTATTAAGAAGACCAGCCATTTTAGGCAGTAAAAATATTGGCGATAAACAGTGCATAGTATCAGAAATACCAACCATAAAATCCGATGAAGGAGATGAAAGACTTATTTCAGGACCTTGGCTTATTTGAAAAAACACCATACTCCTACGTGAAAACGCTAAGCTCTATTCCATCCCAACGCCATGTCGTGTACCCCTACCATTAATGAAGGAAACACAGAAAGAACTCATTAGGATGGAAAAGATAGGGGTGGTAAGCAGGGTAGAAGAGCCAACAGAATAGTGTTCACCCATGGCAGTGGTGCCAAAGGACAATGGAAAGGTCAGAATATGCGTTGACCTGACAAAACTAAATGCATATTTTAAAAGAGAATTTCACATGCTACCAACAGTCGACTATGTACTAGCCCAATTGGATGGGGCCAATATTACGTCCAAACTAGACTCTAATAGTCGATATTGGCAAATCCCTTTATCACGTGAACCCTGCCAATTAACCACCTTCATTACTCTTTTTGGCAGATTCCAGTTTAACCGTCTACCGTTTGGGATCACATCAGCCAGTGAGGTATACCAGAAACAGATGCCAGTCATACTAGAAAGCCAAGAAGGGGTAATATGTATGCTAGATGACATACTGGTAATCAAAGTGAGCATGACATACGTTTAAAAGCCATACTGAAGATTATACAAGCAGCAGAGATAACCCTAAATCCCCCAAAATCTGAGATATCCAAGACCTCGTTAAAATTCTTAGGACATTCACTCAGCATTGATGGCCTAAAGCCCGATCGAGACAGGGTTTCAGGAGTTTACAACTTCCTATCAACAAACAACATAACAGAGACTCCCAGGTTTTTAGGAATGGTAAATCAATTGGGGAAGTTCATATCAAACCTATCAGAGATGACAAAACCCTTACGGGACATAATGAGCCAGAAAATGCTTTTGCGTGGCAAACTGAACAGAAAAGAGCCTTCAATTCTATAAAAGAAATTTTATGTTCAGCGGTAGTCCTGTCATTATATGGCCCAAGAAAAAGAACCATGTTTTCCACTAATACCTCATCCTATGGCCTTAGTGCAGTGCTTTTACAGCAACACGAAGACAGGAAACTGCATCCATTAGCTTATGCATCAAGAGACATGTGGGAAACTGAAACCTGATATGCTCAGATTGAGTTCTTGCTATAACCCAGGAATGTGAGCGGTTCTTTGACTACCTAATAGGGTTAGAATTTACAATCGAGACGGATCATAAACCACTTCCTTTTAGGCAACAAAGACACAAACGAATTACCAGCTAGCATACAGAAATTTCGCATCCGTCTCATGAGGTTCAGCTTCAAAATCCACCATGTTTCCAGCAAAAACCTTTACACTGCCGATGTCCTATCAAGAGCCACGCCTAGCAACATGCCGACCAATCAGGAAAAAGAACTGGAGGAAAGTTCAACAATGTTCGTCCAAGCCATCATGAATTCTCTACCTGAAACCGATAGACGCTTGGCTGAATTAAGGGAAGCAACCAGCAATGATGACACATACACACACATTAAGAACTACGTCAAAAAGGGATAGCCTACAAAAAAACAAGTTCCATTGCGCATCAAGCCATATTGGGCCCATCGAGGAGAAATTACCTGGGAGGAAGGCTTATCAATGTATGGGACACGGATCATAGTCCCCCAGTCAATGAGGTCAGAAATAATTGACTAGATCTACTCAGGTCACCAAGGCATTACAAGATGCCGACAACGAGCCCGTCAATCTGGTGGTCTGGGTTGTCCGACCAAATAATAATAAAAAAAAAACAAGGTAGAGAATTTTGAAACCAGGCTGAGGCAACAACCAGCCGAAACATTAATTGCAACAAAACTCCCATCCAGACCCTGGCACAACCTGGCTTCTGACTTGTTTGAACTAAATAACCAGACATACCTGTTGGTGGTCGATTACTTCTCTAAGTATATAAAGTTCATCCAACTAAGTTCAGTCACCTCAAAAGAGATAATAGAGAATCTAAAACAAATATTCGCCAGACATGGAATACCAGTGACCGTGAGAACAAATCTAGGAAGCCAATACATGGCTAAAGAATTTGCTTATTTCGCAAGAAACTGACGCTTTCAACACATCACAAATAGCCCTATATTTTCTCAAAGCAACAGAGCAGCGGAAGCAGCAGTAAAAATTGTAAAGAACATACTGAGGAAAGCAAGGCACCCATATATGTCCCTGCTAGCCCATGTAACTACCCCAATGGACTGTGGGTACTCCCCCAGCGAACTACTAATGGGGAGGCGATTAAGATCCAATATCCCAATCCATCCGAAACTACTGGCGCCCAAGTGGCCTAACTTCAAACTCATTCGGAATAGGGATGAACACAAGAAGGCCCAACAACAGCACACATACAACCAAAGAAACGCAGCAAGAGAACTGCAACCACTTGAATCTGGAACCAGAGTGTGGATTAGAAGCCCAAACACCCCTAGCCAGGAAGGGACGATAGGTGGAAACGCCCTCACTTCACGATCTTACATAGTGGAACATACGACAGCAGAGGATACATCTGACGCAACCGTCGACACATTGTACCACAACTCCCTCTGAGCAGGGAAATAAAAGCAGAGAACTCAGAATGCATCCAACCGTCAATGGAGGAAACTGAAGAAATGACTCATCAAACAATCCCCCGAGAACTCCCTCATGTCTGCTGCATGTAGTCCAGAAACTCTTGAAGGTCCAGGGGGAGTGGTCAGCTCAAAAACAGTTCATATATGATCCTTGAGCTGCCTCGGCAGAGTTTGACTTGAGAGGCTATGCACTGCCCAGGGTTTAACCAGTTCCTCAGCCAATACCTGCATAAACTGCTTCTTCTTCATCTGTCTGCCTCCTTCTGCATATTTTCCCCATGGATGATCCAGGAGTTGATGACCCTGCGTTCAGCATGCCATAGACCACACAGAGCGGGCACCTCTTAGTCTTCCTGCCGCACGAATATTGACCACACATTTGGTTTAAAGTGTCCACTCCGCCTTTCGTCCTGTTGTAGTCCTCGATGTAGTTGGCTTTCCACTGCATTGAATACACGAGGAGGACAATTTTCTTGCTGGAAGGAGTTTTGGGCACATACGACACCAGTGTCATGTCCTTCGTGAACAAGAAGGCACTGGAAACTGGAGCCCGTGTGGTCTTGTCCTTTATCTCTTCTGGTATCTCTGACTTGTTTCACCTGACTGTCCCATTCAGCGTCATCCCACAATTTTGCAGCATATCCTGGATGAGGGGCACACAGGTGAACCAATTGCCGGTTGTTGCATTCCTGTTGGTGTTGTGGTAGCGCTGTGTCAGGTCCTTGGTGAAAGGTCAGGTCCTTGCCCGTCTGTCGCCCGTGTCCTCTGCTTCCCAAGATAGGGGATCCCCGACAGCATGTACTTGTTCTTGACATCATTTACCATGACGATCTTGATGCCGTACTTCGCTGGTTTATTTGAGATGTACATGCGAAAGGGGCAGCGGCCACGGAAGGCAAGCGACTGCTTATCAACAGTCAGGAACTCGTGTTGTTATAAAATAAAATAAGACATATCTCGGCTGATTTACAGGCAAATAAACTAACATACTCAAGAGCGAGAGCCGGATGTGAGCGGGACAAAGCCCCGTCACAAAATGACCAGTATCTTCGTTTACAAATGTTCCCGACGCATGAGTTCCGGTTAAAAATAAAATAATATTTAAAGTGTTCTATTTTTCGTCCAATAAAAATGCTTCCCTCCTAATTATACTCGCTTCGTTTTTCGAGCCTGTTAAGCCATAAAAAAACGCCATAAAAGGGGTCACACGGAAGTACAACAGCCAGTCAGCAGGTGGCCGGGGAAGAGACCTGTCACGGTCAGGTCGAGCGGTCAGCATGGGAGCGCTAGTGTCAACATGTGTGAACTACTATGAGAGATCGACCTGGCTTGGAATGCGAATTCGTCAAGTCTGCTAAAGATTTACTGGACCAAAGTATCTTTCAGCAGATATCATATATATTTGTGTGTGTGGGAATACATAACTATAAAAATGTTAAAATAATTTTAATTTTTTAAAAATGGTTAAATTCATAACCTCCTGTTATTTGAATATATATATATATATATATATATATATATATATATATGGTTAGATAAATGAGATAACTAGATATCAGCGACCGTATACGCGTGTGCTGGTATGCATGCGTTGGTAAGCAAATAAATAATTACCAAATTTAGACACAAAGGTGTAGACACAAAACAAAAGTGTTAAATGTGATTAGACAGTGTTAAGAAATAAAATACACTACACATATGGAATCGAGTTCGGTGACTACACAAGTCATCGGGCACGATATTAAATTATAAGAAATTAGTCGATGGAGCGAAAAAGGTATGCGCTCCTTTTTAGGGACGGGAGCAGTTCTTTTTTAACAAAAAGGGCGAGGAGGGAAGTACGCTCCATTTTGGGGTTATGGGGCAGGAGCCGCTTCAGATTTTGAGGAGCGTACTACGACATTTTTTATACACTTATAAAAACTATAGAAAACTTAGCGAAGTAATTGTTCCAAGTAATGTGGTTAATCAACATAAAGCATAAGTAAGTTGTTGCATTTTATTTTTATTTTCCCCGCGTGTTTATTTTTTTTTACAACCATTTGCTCATTCATGTTAGGTGACAGAAGATCAAATTCTCAAGAAATATGGAAATGATTCATTTTTTTTTTTGTTTGTTAACAAATAAATTTCAAGCTTTGACAAAGATGTGTATTTCCACTTACAGATCAAACTTACAAATTAGAATTTTAAAGTAGTTCGTCAAGGTCTCAAGGGCATTAACTTAAATAAGAAAATTACAGTTTTCTCCCATCAACTATTAAAATTATTGTAAATAAAAAACAAAGGATTATGAATTGATTTTTTACAGAAACTGTATTCTTAAAACATTGTGTAAACTTATGTATCATCTTATGCGCTGCGTTCCTTCAGAGCATGAGCGATCATGGCCTCTGCAACTTCCTGTCTTTATAGATTTTTTACTATATTTTAATCCTTGTTCAGCCATCCATTTATACCAGCTCGTTATGTAGGTTACTCGCTGTTTACCTCTGTCTGTCCCTTTTCAATATTTTATTGTTTTTTATATGAACTTTACATTCTCCAAACCCTCTTTTCTCACATATCTCCAAAATTTCAACCATCTTTTTCTCATTCTAAGTATAAGCGCATTTTTTTACTTCCCTCCAGGAATAAATTAGTGAATTATCAGCCAAAGTTTTCAAATACAAATTGAAGTCACATATGAATTCATAGTTCATTTATTCAATAATCAAGCGGATTTACTTGCTTTACTTTTCATTTAAATACTAAAATAATACTAGTAGCCGTGTAGTGAATTATCACTACATACAAAACACAGAATTAGCGACGTAGCTGAAGCAGTAGACAGATATGAAAACTTCAAATCAGAAATTAAATTGATATTTCGTTTCTGTGTAGTTAGTATGGGCGCACATCTTCCGACAATAGTAAAAATTTCAAATAAATACAATCTTGATTCATTATTAATTTATTTTTGGTAACCGAGAAAACTATAATTTTTTTATTCGTTACTAATAAAATTATAAAAAATAACTTAAAATGTTTAATAAATGATTATGATAATCTAGGATTGTCTTTTACATTTACTTTTGTGAGAAGTATATTTAAAAGAAAGCCAGACCATTTATAAAAAATAAATTAGATGTATATATAAAAAATTAATAAATTTAGATTTGTTTCTAAAAGAACCACTGAAAATAATTCAGTCAAACTTTAAAATTCATTTTTCAAATTTAAAAAATATATACATTTTTATTTATTGTACAACTAAAAGCATGGCTTCCACCCGTGTAAATTTAAAGTGAAGGACTATCTGGAGCTTCATCTATGATATATAAGAAAATGGGTCAGCGGATAACTTTTAACTACAAGGTATGATACTTTTCGATCGGAAGGGGCAAAAATTTCGAAGAAGACGCGGAGACCTGAAAACTTCGTCTTGAAGACAGAAAATTAAAGTTCCAGAAGGAAAAGCTGTTTTTGTCTGTCACTTGTGAATGAACTTGATTGTTTCTTACAGAAGAAGCATCGGAAAAATCAAGTGAAACCTGTGAATCTTAAGGAAGAAAAATTGTTGAAAGTCCCATTGTAGAGGTTGGTACTACATATATTTATCTTTTGACTAGGAAAGGCGTGATTAAGGAAAGCAAAGACGCTGGCGGTTACTATCCCATGTGGCGAGCACAATGCAATTTGTATTTGACATAAAATAGCACATACAAGACAGAATGTAATGATTCAAAACATAACAATTGAATTTATTAGTGTCGATGTACATGCATATAAGGTGAAGGTTTGAATGAATTATGTCTCTTAGATTTGGAAATATTTGTACCTGAGCTCATAAAGTGAATTAACTATTGAACTGTAGTTTAGAAAAATAAAATCCCTTTAGCATGTTAGCAAATGTGAATTGGATAAAGTTGGTAAGTGTTCAGAAGAGTTAAGAGTTGTACTTGCGTGAATGTTGTAATGTTCTTTAACGTCTGACCGCAAGGTTAAGACGAGAGCTCTTGAAGATTACATCCTGGCAGCAAGGAGAAAGATGAATGAGAAGACGAAGAGAGAGAGCTTACACGTGTTTTGTTTATATAAGGCTGGGTATCACGTGATCGGCTCAACCATAGTGAGCGGGAAATTTAATTCCTCGCGTGCAGGATATCTGATTGGTCGGAATTGACCAATCAGCGAGCTAGTTTTGAGGAGATCAACCAATGAATGCTTGTCGCATGATTTCTATGTACTGTGTGTATGTAATGGTGGTGGTAGGTATTAACCATTAACGCAAATGGATTTGCCAAAGCTCCATACAGTTTTTTTTTTGTTTTACGATTAGGTAGGTGCACCTATTTTAATTTTGTCAACATTATTTAAAGTTTTTTTTTACTTTCTCAAAGTATGTTCCATTATTTGAGGATTGCATTGTAAATCTTTTTAAGAGCTCTTAAATTCTTATATTTTATGTTGTTTTAATGTATTGTAATAAATTCAAATGTCACATTGTAGTTTCGAGTCTTTGTTTTGGTATGCCCCTTATTCTATAATCCGGATAAATGAGGTGGTAAGAACATTGTTATTATAAATAAAAATAGAATATAAAGTAATGATAATGAAAATTATAAATAAAATAAAATTTAAACCTCGTTTAAAATAAATTAGATAATATACAAGAAATAAAGAAATAAAGAAAAAAACGGTGTGGATTTATCCACACCCTAGAAATTGAAATGAAAACTGTATCTATCGTTGTCACTGGAATCCAACTACAACCTTGAAAACCGTGAATAGAAACTAACAGTTCTACCGCTATATAAAAAATGTTATTATTATAAAAAAATGAAATATTAAAAAAAAAAAATTATTAAGCAATTTTCTGAAGTATGCGGGAAATATCACTCCTTTATGAAGGACCGTTACAATTAGCTAAGAAATCTCCCATACTATGAACACTATACCAGACATGAAAATACCTAATAACAGAAAATAAAAAAAACACCTCAAAGTGGTCACTGAGAGATAAAAAAAAGTCAGTGACACTACAAAATGATAGGAAGAAACAAACAAACAAAAAAATTACCCCTGACCGAACCCCCCAAAATTGAACACTCTTCAAAACAACACGCACGCACGCACGCACAAAAGAACTATTTTACTTTGAATAGGCATCCATCACTACCGATTAGCTCCGCTATTTCGTGGAGATGTTATATATAGGTAAATTGTTATTATTATAAATAAAAATAAAATATTAAATAATAATAAATTCAGATCATAAATAAAATAAACAAAATTTAAACCTCGTTTAAAATAAATTAATTAAATAAAAATAATGAAATTACTTCCAATATGCAAAAAGGACTGTTTCTGTCGGAAGTACAGACACCCCGCCAAAAACGTAGGTTTTACTCTATTCACCCAAGAACTGTCGGAATGACAACACGTGTGTTAAAAGTTACTAATGGCATTGCCAAGCCAATCGTCTTCTTCTATGCCAAAATCACTACCACTCAAAGGAACAATAGTGATTTTTTTCAGGGAACCTTTGGCCATCTATTTAGTGATACAGAATTTTCGATACATTCTGGAAGGTAGAAACTTCTCTGTTCATATGAATCACAAACCTCTGACAAAGGCACTATGCTAATCAGCAGATCTGTATTTACCAAGAGAATTGCGACAATTAGATTATAATTCGCAATTCACTTCATGCATTAAATACGTCTCTGGAACCAACAACACTGCAGCTGATACCCTATCAAGAACGACAATTCATCACACAGACTTCAGATATGAGTCTCTAGCAGATAAACAAAATAAAGACAGCACAGTG